TCATCAGGATCCAGAGTCTTTACTTCGCATCATGCCCCGCCACCTATACCCTCCGCTTTTATGGCCTCGTATCGTAAATCCTCTTTCGATACTTTACCTTCTGCATCACAGTCCTCTGCCAACCGAGGAGCCTTGAATCGCCCGCCTCTTTCGTCGCGTTCAGCAAGCAAATGCGACTCCGGACCTCTGTTCACGCAGGCTCGGTATTCGGCATCTACATGGCGCGCCGTTCATCCAGAGGGCTCGGATTTCACACTAAATGCATCGCGCCCGCGCCCTTATTCACGCGATCTTGATCTTCGTCATAGCATCCGATACTCACATTCCTCGATGTCCCTCACTCGTCCAAGCCGCCTGAGCTCTCTGAGCACTGTTTCGCGAAGTGGCTCTAATGGTTCCAACAGCCGGCATCACACCTTCGGAGTTCCTGATCACGGCGAAATAGCCAGTCCCGATGAGATCGCGTATGCTATCACAAAGGGAACGCCCATACCTGGCACTGAACGTGTCAGAGGTCTTGGCAGACACCACATCCGCTCAGGCAGTGCCCCGGATTATACATCCCCTTCTCAGCAGAAGCCTGGCTTCGTTTTCGAGGCGATTGTCGTCACTCGAAAACCGGTGCCGGTTCGGCGATTGAGATCTGCGGACCGTGTGCGGGCCTCAAGTACTTCCAATTCCGAAGCTGAGAGATACATGGTTAGCCTAGGGCTTGGAAACTTCCAGCACCCTAATGACCGATCGGAATATACTGAATTGGGCATGAGTAGACGGATGACGTTTGAGGAAGTGAAGAACAAGCCCTTGCCGAAGATTGCCGTCTTCTAGCAACGAGCTTAACCCAACCTTCGACTGCAATCCAACTATGCGAAAATCATTAAACTCAAGACCATTAGTAGTTCTACACACGCTCTTCCACAGACCGTTTCATGGGTGTAAAATAAGCAGAGCGCTCGCTAGCAGCAAAAGCAAGCGAACGTTCGCTCAGAGAGGTCCTGGCGGAATACAAACGGTGGGACGGGCCGTCTGTGCGTCTCCCAGTTCGCATCCCACGCGAATCACTGATCACTGCTGATGGGCTGCTGTTGGTCGCCCGTGGGATCAGCAGCGCCACCCGTCAGCTTACAGCGGACAGCGGGTGACTGACTTGCTATAAGGCGACCGAAGTATCCTCACTGGCTGTATGCATAAACGTCAGCGATACATCTAGAATGCCGCTTGGGCGTGACTCGTCACCACCAACATTGACCGTCTACAATTGTTCTGGACTGGTGGATCCCGTCGGAAAACTCTGCTCCTGTTCACGGGATCAACTCTCTGGCTTCCTGACATAAATTGGGAGAAGACATTATTCCAGCACTGGTCTGGCATGCTTGAAACCGTGTCACCTCTTAACAGATATGTACGCTCACAAACGCGCAAGATATAAGCATATTCATAAGGAGCCGGTCTTGACCGCTATACAAGCTTGCGAATAGACCACACATTCAGCAGATTAGGGAAAGGAATAGCTCGATATTAAACGAAATCTGGCCTAGCACGGGCTCACACACGACTTATTGCACCATCTGCTATACACGCATGTGCCAACACCCATGGCTTTTACGCCAGTGTGCTGAGTACAGCCAACAACCAGTCGACAAAACCTCAACACTTGGCAGCTTATCTCACCTTTGCGAAGGCATCAGCAAGGTCTTCTACCATGAATCATCTATGGCCTACCCGGAAAAGGCATGCGCCACCAACTAGGGCGACTGGAAAGATTTCGAGAGCAGAGCTTCTGTGACACATGATGAGAATAAAGAGGCTTGCTATACGTAACAAGGGCAACTTAGAGACAGTATGCTGAGGCTATCAGAACGTATGGGTGCATCGCTTTCATGCTATAAAGCAGAGCTCGACTGCTGTCTAGAAAGATCACAACATTACAGTCAAACATCTATTCGATCAAACATACTATCTTGTTCCAGTACCCGAAACGCAAAGATGCAGCTTACAGTCCTCGCCTCTCTTCTTGCCTCTGTGGCTATGACCGCCAGTGCCGCACCTTCCACCGGCATTGAGGCCCGTCAGGGAGTTCCCCGAGTCCGCGCCACTTGTAAGTGACAACATTGCGCAATACAAAACATACGGAACACGTATTGACGTTATACTCATTCCAGTCTACCGTGACCAAGAATGCGGCCGCGACGGCCGGCCTTATGCCGATGACTTCGTCCCACTCCAAAACACCACCGCCACCGGCCTGAGCACGTGCATGAATTTCCCCCCCTCGTTCAACTACCCTAGCACATTCTTTAACGAGACCATGCTCACGAGGACACGTAAGTTTTAGTTGCATGCTAACAAACTTTGGGTTCACATGAGCTGACCAATTGCGTGTAGTCCGTTTCTATGATCTTCCTTGCGAGCAACTTACCGACGTTGGCAGTGGACATCACATCGATATCGCGCCTGGCTTCATGCCTGGTTGCCAGAACTTGACACTCAAGTCTTATGTCACTTTGTAGATGTTATAGCTGACGAGGGGTCTGCTGGTGGACAGATCGAGGAAGGCTTTGTCATGTAGTAATGCGATGTAGTGTGAGTCGGGTCCAACACTCCGGCTCACATCACACGTCATTCAGAACCTTTCCGCAAATTCCTACGCTTTTCTAGTCACTCATTTATAAAAATACAGAATATGGAGCAATCCAACATCGAAGACTATGACACTATTTCGCCGAGTTGTTCATTACTAGTGTTTCCAGTATACCCATCGGAAAGTCCTGATGAAGAAACTGTAGAAGGTGTGTAAGATTGCGTGGGGTCACGGGTAGGCGGAACGTACTACATGCATGCAGTCACTCTGCACGTGAACTTATATGCATGCATGCGACCGGCTTACCTGCAAGATCGCATCGAAGCACCAGATCGAGATGTTTTCAGAGCCATGTCATTTCACGAACTGTTAAGACCGCAAGACTCGAAATTGGGGAACACGGGGCAAGCGGCGTCACGAGCTTACAAAATTGGCATCAATGTAAGCAAAACGTACGTAGTGTGTCCCGATTGGAGTCATAACGCAACAAACACCTAGAATTTGGCCTCAAGTCGGAGTCTACGGATGGGGATCTTGACATCACTTCCTCGTATACTCTTACTCGCCAATAGGCACCAACGTAAGATTTTTCGTGTCATGTTGCCCTTAAGGCTATGGAACAGTCTCGGAATACTCTGGCCACTCAATGAAAACATCGCAACAGTGGCAGGTGTCCTCGAAACGGCCAACGTCGACTGGGCGATGTAAGCCACCAACCGCACGATCCGCGTCGCCCTTCATACCAGAGTTGGTGGAGCAATTCTGTGCGTAACAGCAGATTGGCTTACTTTTGTTGGATGAGAGTACATCGCGGAGACATATAAAGCAAGCATGGTACACCGTTCTCTATCTCACCACAACATCTCATCTCATCTCCCTCTTTCCACATTCATCTATCCATTCATACCCCCAGCAAACCCATATCCAAACTTCAACATGCAGCTCACCACTCTCATCACTCTGTTCGCCACTGCCATCGCCGTAAGCGCGACACCCGTCGAATTAGAGGAGAAGCGTCAGCTCGAAGGCGCTCCTCGCGTCTACGCCCGCTTCTTCCGCGACAACGGTTGCGGGCCCACTCCATGGGCTGAAGATACTGTCTTCTTGCAGTCCGAGACTGTGGGACTGGCTGGATGCCAGGATCTGACTGTTGGGCCTTTCGCCAGCACCAGTTTTGACATCAACAACTTCAGCAGGACTGGTAGGTGAAACTTCATGATTACTAGGAGGCTATAAGAGCTTCGCTAATGATGAGAGTAGTGAGGTTCTTCAACTTGCCTTGCTCTCAGCTCACGTCTACTACGAGCGGGAACTTTGTCGATATCGCTCCCGGCCAGGCTCCCAGCTGTAAGAACTTGGCTATCCGGTCCTGGGTCACCATCTAAATGGCATCCCGTCGTATGACAATGGCTCTATATCTGCTGAAAAGGTCAAAATATCACAGTGGGTCTAAAGTATCTGGTCTAGTCGTGAAGATGGAGGAGTTGAGTGGTGTAAGGAGAAATGTGAGATGAGTCGGGTCCAACACTCCGGTCTCGTCTTGCGGGTGTTATTTCATAGTCTTTTTGTCGCTCTTTTAGTAAGAATATAAGATTTTTGGGACGCACCCGTGTATACTTGCACAATATCTACCGTTGCAGCTTACGTGCACGCGAAGTCTGACGCCAGCCTTTAAATACATTCTCGTAGAAGACGTCGTGAGTCTACTAGCACACACGCAGTTTTGCAGGAAAGCTTCAAGCGCAGTCGTATTGGGAGGTCTTGTAAGCACGGGGTCAGAATCTAGCAACTCGAGTATGTGGGTACAGAGACGGCAGTCGCGCTAGTATACACGTAGCGGTGACGTAGCAGCAGGCTAAAGATGGACCATCAGGCCACGAGTTGACTAGAAACCAACGCAACTTCCCTCTTGAGCTCCCGCAACGCGTCAATGCTGCCAGACAAGACCTCGGGAATTTGCGCATCCCTGTCCTGACCGGAAACTGATCACGGCGTCAGCAACAACACACCGACGAGAAAGAGCATTTGAAGCACGAGCTCATATCAAAACTCTACTATCATAACTTATAGCCCATTCAGTAACGATTCAGATCCACACGGCATCATTTCCATTACTGAAACGGTCGTCTTGGGCGATGGCTTACTATCATGCGTCTGACCTCACCAAGCCCTTCGCGACAACAGATTTGGACGTGACCAGGGCGAGTAGAATATACGGTTGGAGAGTTGATTCAGAGGATATGGTGAGAGATGATCCATAGAGCATGTCGCGTATAGGTACAGCGGAGATAGTCCTACCGCCAGATGGGTATAAAGGAGGCCTGTTCTGGCATTCATGATTCTTTACCACTACATCTATCGCAATTACATTCAAACAATTCCAATACTACAAGCCAAAAGAACTCAAAACATCATCAAAATGCAGCTCACCACTATCGTTGCCTTCCTTGCGGCCGCCGCTAGTGCCGCTCCTGGTACACTGTCTCCACGGGCATCTGGAAGCGTGCGCGCACGTTTCTATAACGATGGCGGCTGCGGTAGCAACGGCAATGATATAGCTCAAGCTGAGTTGATCCTCACGTCAACCAATGTGACAGGCAAGGCAGGATGTCGGGACTTGACCATCGGGCCATACCCTGCTGTATTCTTCGATCAGAGCACTCTGGATTCAAACACAAAGAGTAAGTCAAGGCACAGCTTTATCCAGCCAGATACCCACTGGGAGATTTTGCAATGATAGTTATGCTAATTTTTCGTCATCCAGTTCGCGTCTTGAATGTGCCCTGCTCTCAAGTTGCGGACAACTTGGACCAGACCCCTGGAAACAGGATTGACATTGGGCCACGGGACGTCATGACCGGATGCAAGTCCTTCACTGTGCTTTCCTACCTTACTTTGCCGTAGAGAAGTCATTCTCCCGGCAATTGCAAAAGTAGATGGTACGAAGTGAGGATGGAGATGTAGTAGATTGGGTCCAACACTCCAATCACGTACATGGGTGTTTGCAAAGTGTTTCTCTTTGTTTGTCTTTGTTCTCTTTAACCAACTTTGTAGTCACTCGTTTAGTTTAGAATTCCGAAAACATCAGGTCATATGCCACTATCTCCTATGGCTCGTTGATATAATGCGGTGATTCTACGGTATTCACGCGCCACTTCCTTGCTAAGGCTAATCACCGCTCACCTGTATTCAGATTCCGATTGGAGTAAGCCGTTTTTCAATCGCTCATTCCGAGCTTGGACAGTCACCTCGACCTGTGTCACAATTAGCGCACTAACTCCCGCGCGCTCTTTTACCACGCCTATTTTCCCCAGACTCACCCCACTGCTCCTTCCACCCATCGCGCAACAAAGTCATTCAAGGAAACAACTACCAAACACCCAAGATGCATCTCATGAATCTTCTGCTCGCGTGCATCTTCGCCCTGTGCGTCATTGCCGCACCCGCGGACTTTACGTTGCACTCTCCGCTCGCGATTCCTGTCCCCGGCTCTGCAACCTACGACGCCGACGTCGCCGCTGTCCTTGCCTACGTCCGTTCCCACAACTCTTCCCCCGTCCAGAGATCCGCCGCCGATGAGCCAATTACTAGATTATGCGGCATATATACTAGTACTCCAGTCTCCGATCCCATCTACCAGGAAATGCGCGAAGATGGATCGTTCAACTATCGCAGCTTCGATCTAGCTGCGGGCTCCACTATCGAGGGCATCCTTAACCGCCACTGCGGATTCTGCATGTACTTTGACGGTAAGTGTGTCCGTTTTTCTACTTGCAGTACCTGCGGCGCTCCCAGACTGCACGCTGATTGGCAAGGAATCAACTGACACGTATTACAGAAGAAGGCGCTCTCATCATGTCCGTAGGACCCGATCAAGTGAATTGGGCGCATCCTACAACTGCCAAGACCTACATCTGCTGGCGTCCGCCGATGAGGGGTCACGAAGGTGGTAACTGAAGATGATCAGCGTGGAGGGTCTGCATGTCGATACCGAAGTTCTCGATATTGCTTTCAGACAGTGTGGTTATTTGTCACACTAACACGGTCTTCCTTCTTTTCTTCCACGGAAGTGGGATGCGGCGCGTTAGGACCGTATGCGTCGTGCAGTCCGTCAATATGAGGAATTGACAAGCGTAACAATTCAACAAGAATTCGCCGGTGATGGTGATGTACACTTCACATACAGCTCAGTTCCAATCACACATGAACATCTGGGATCTCTGTATCTCCAATAGTTCCTAAAACCCACTCTTCCTCTCTCATTTTAACCTTCTCTCCCTCTGAAACTACCGATGTCTTCCCAGCCACGACAATACACAAGCGAACAAGTTAAGACAAGCTGGTCAAATAAACCACTACACATCAAGCTTGGCATTTCAGAAGCAGAAATGAACGCGCATTTGGCTCTGCAAGCGCGCGTGCACGACTACGAGGAACGCGACAAGGAGAAAGCAAACGAACTGGAGCCCGAAGCAGAGCTAGATACAGACTCACATACCAGCGTCGAAGAAGAAAAGCTGGAAGGAAAGAGCGTAGTACATGAAGATGAGACGCACAGTGCGAGCGGCCAGAATGACCGTGCGAGGAGGACTTCCGAAAAAGATGAAACGGTGGTCGTTATGGGCGGCGGCGGTGAAAGAGACATAGTGGTGATAACAATTAGGCATGTACAGGCCGCTGCGACTACTGGAGAAGGAAGTACATCCAATGGAGATGGCAAAGGAAGTGAGGGCGGGCACACATCGGGCGAGGTATGGACAGAGAGTCCGCATTTCCTTTGGGGGCCTTGAAAGATCATGATTCTTGAATGGTATAACATCAGTATCTCATCATCCCATTCCACAATATCAACGTCATCCAACGACACTTTGCCCCGTAGTGATCTCTCTTCTTCTATTACTCCAGAACGCCTTGCTGGGTGGTGATGATACATGAAAGGTGACATGTGGGTGAAGATGCGTGTAGTCGTTGGCCACTTCCATCATAGTACTCATCGGGGCTGAATGTGCACGTAGTTCGGAGGTGATGTGGTCAGGCCATTGAAGAGTCATTCTCTCCTTGCAGCGGGACCATGCGACGACCATCGCGAGACCGTCACCTAGTCCAATGAAGCGTAAGCGTCATTCCGTAACCAGCCGCGACTGGAGGCTGATTTCGGATGCTGTCTCACTTCAAGTCGCTTCGGTGCTCGCTTTCTCGGCCTCCACTTCTGTGCTCTGCTCCGTTTCCTCGCTCTTGTTCTCTTTGATTTCTTTTTGAGGCTCCACCTTAGGTTCCGCCTTGGGCTGCGCAACAGTTTTGCTGACTACGAGACCGATGAGATGAGAACCAACGTTGCCAGCACCATCGATAGGCCCGAGTTTCGCATCGAATAGCTTCGCCTCGCGTAGCAATCTGAGTGGTGTCAGCTATCATACACTTCCCGAAATTGACTTTGTCACGTACCGTGCTTTACCACCGGGCGTCTTCACTGCCGCCTCCTTGATGACACCACCGACCTCCTCTCTGTAGCTCTCAAATACAGGTCCCATAATCATGCGGACCTGAATGTCGCTCAAGTACTTGTTAATCACCTTATGCATGGTCACCGTGTCCTTGGTCAAGCTCTCCATGCTGGGGCTGACATCTTTGTTGACTTCAGCCTCAGTATCCCATTCCACTTTCTTGAGGCTGCGCATGTGAACCTTCGCCCTCCCAGCTAAGATGCCTGTGAGCTTTTCGTGGATTTGGTTTTGTTGGTCGTACAACAGGCGCTTGACATTGTCAAACTCGCCGATTGAGGATTTGTTCGAAGCTGATGCAGTACGGCGCCGGAAGCACTCGCGGATGTAAGGTAGGATGGCGACAAGGAAGGAAAGTGTCTGAGAAGCAATGGCGAGATGTTTGGTGTTGATATTCTTCAAGCCAGCTGACTGCATGGCGCCCGCGCCGAGAATCAGTTGACAAAGTCGGGAGTTGAAAAGCTTAATGTAGTCGCAAAGGGAGGTGGAGACTTCCGAAGTCATACTTGGCATCGCGGAAACCAGAATTTCGAAGCGCTCGATACCTCGAAGGACGACTGTAGATGATTCAGAGATGGTGTACTTCTCCTCATCCACAACGGCAGGGATAGTGGTCTTGTTCTTTTCCTTTGGCTTCTCTTCGGATGCGCCGTTGGTTTGTACTAAAGTGCCATTTGTGGTCGGCTTTTCGATCTCTCGAAGAATGTCACCAGTTTCGGCCCAGCTTGGTGGGTCGCTCTCCATTCCCTTCAACAACCGTGCTAGGACCACAGTGTCGCTTGCGTCAAAGTCTTTCGGTTCCCAACGATCTGAATCCATTGCTTTTATCAGTTCTTGTTTCTCGAAGTCTGCAAATTTGGAGACGAAGTCGTTGATGTGGGTGTTCACCACACCCTTAAGTGCAGCACCGGAACGTCCTGAGACAGCTTCACACTCATCCGCAAAAAGCCGACACATGTTGAAGTACCGTAGGAAGCGTTCCAATGGGAGATTAGCTGTAGCTTCTGAGCGAACTTTGAGGAGCTTGGTGATCTGTGTCTGTGCTGCGTCGACAGCCTGGCCTAACAAACTTGACATATCCAGAGCTTGCATAAGTTCCATCTGCAGATCGTTGGAGCTTGGCGCTGGCACGTTATTGCCCACGTAATCATCGATACTGTGCATATACGGACTCCTTGGAGGAGAGCGAAGCCCGCCAGCAGAGGCGGGAGGGGTAGTCACGCCGCTTGTGACATCAAGAAGCACCTTGATCAGTGTGCTTAGACGGCGGAGCGCCTCTCCGATGTTGGTGAAAATATTAGCGAAAAAGACCTCGGCGTCCTCAGGATCCATTGCGCGCAAATTACGCGCAAGGATCGAATTCTTGTCCTGCTGACTAGTTCCTCGACCGCCTCTTGTTGACACAGAAGCCATAGAACCAGTATCGTCTTCTGATGAGCTCGGCAAATGTTTCCGGATGAGAACTTTCATCTCTTTGATCATAGCCTCCCTGAAAGTTGCGCTAGCTTGGTTGGTGAATTGTGCTCCGCTCAGGCCATAGAGACTAGCTCGTAGCTCCGCTCGTAACTTTTCATCTGTCGTCATGTAGGCTGGTAAGGTCGTCTTCGGTTTCTGGTTGGCCCCGCGTGCTTTTTGCGATGCAGCAGTCCATCGTTCCAGGGTATCATGAGCCGGAACTCGCTTGACATGCTCTCGCAGGTCAGTGAGCAGAGTGTCGACAAAGCGTACTTCAAAGCCTCTGCCCACGCGGAACTTGAGCTCGGTAATGTTCTCGAAGACTCCGTCTAGTGCTCTCAAGTGTCGCAAATCGATCAACTGCGGAGGTAATCGTGTGTCAAGCCATGAGGTGCTCTGTGTATCAGTCGTGTCCAGCGCGCCTGTTATCAGTCGTTCGATGACTTCTATCCGGGCCATGGCGGTTTCAAGGTCACCATCGACAACGGCTTCGTCGCAGTGCGAGAGTCCGACGATGACAGCCTGTAACTGGTCGACCGAGTCTGTCAGCCTCCTCAAATTCTCTCTCCGCCTCTTCATTTCGACGACCTTCAAGCCTCCTATTGCCATTTGCTCATCCAGCCTCTTCAAGTCTTCCCTGAGACCTTTGATCCTTGCGACCGAATCTGATGCTTCCGTCTGAAGCTCGCGGAGGGAGCCGAGCGCGGCGAAGAAGGATGTCGATGCGGTGGATATGGCCGAAATCAAGTGCACCTCAACCGTGTCCATGTACCATGACAGCTTCTCTTGTAGAATCGCGTTCGTAGCCAGAGCTTTCCGCCCGGGAGGTTGTGGGACGTCCAGAGAGCCGTTTGCCCCAAAATCATCGTTGCTTGCTGTCCGCGCTGGCCTGACCACCTCGGATCGCTCGCTCACTACGTCAAAGGTTCGCGGGTTTTCTAGGTGGAAGTTCTCGTCGAAGTAGATGTTGGGTATTGTAGATAGCGGCGTGATGGCTGGGAGTGCGCGCTTGGATCCGCTCGTTCGACGCTTCGGTTTCGGTGGCCCGTTGGAAGAGAAGGGCGTGCCTGCTAGATTAGGTGTCCCCGCTGGTGACTCAGTCGCGTCCTCCTTCTTCGACCCTCTCCTTACCGGCTGGGCGGCCTCTGCTTCGGCTTCGGCCTTTGCGCGTTGGAAAGCGTCGTACAGACCGCCGACTTGCGACAGGTATGGGTTGAAGGTGGACGGCTCGATGTGGGGTACATTTGTCAGAGTCACGGGTGGGATGTCTTTGGTGGATGGAGGGCGGTGGCCTGCGGTCGCCGTGGCAGTCGTATGCGGCACCATGCCAGTCCGCATGATGGGCGGCGTGAGCAACGTGGAGATGGCATTGTTGCTCTGCTCTCTCACCGCGCCCATGGTGCTCTTGAAGCCGCTGTCGAGTGCGCCCCCAACCGAGTGTATCGAAGACGCGGTTGAGCCACGTCGCGGCTTGTAGCGCCCGCCCGTGGAGCTGGGCCTGTTGGTCCAGTCATGGTTCGCTGATGGGAACGGGAAGGCGCCCTGCGGTGGGTTCGGCGACAGGAACTCGAAGCTCTCGGTCGATCTCCGTGGGGTATCCGGGGAAGACATGATGGCGGCGCAGGTCGGGGGTGGTGAATAGGCGGCGGCATGGGTGGGCAGGGGGGCACATCTATCGCATGCTGGGAGACGTGTGGACGGGTGTCAAGCTCGGAATCATCAATCAAAGACAGCAAGCAGAAGGCGCAATGGGGAGATTGGTTGTGTCAAGCGTCACTTGAATGTCGTGGCTAGCCAAAGTTCCACGCGCTCGGTGGTGACGGTGCATGGGCCCTGGAGCGGCTTCTGGAAGCTTGACAAGGATCATGCAGCCGAAACACAACCGCCGACGGCTCCACCTACTTCAGACCCTTATGTAAGCCACGCCTCTCTTCCCAACCCATCCGCGTCCCTTACGTCCTTGGGGTACCATTATGCTTTATCCCAGCCTCTCATACACAG